TTATTCGGGCTGTATGTTACCCGTTTCAGCTGCTCGCCCTTATCTGCTCTGGGACAAGGCACCGACATGTCCGTCTAAACCTCTGCCATTTTTTTTCTCCTACCCATATATACTTTTATGCCTTTCAAAAAACATTCCTGTCTTTGAGGTGATTTCTCATCTGTAGCAATCTGTACTCTGCTCTATTATATCATCTACTATGTTATTTTTCAGTTCCTTGCTTCCTATCTTTCTTTTCTATAAGACATTAAGTTGTTTAGAGGCAAAGATAATATCTTGATCAATGCTATATCCCCAGCACCTAGCCCTGTACCTAGTCCATTGGGCTAGCTAGGTTCTATGAGTTGAATTGATTCAATGTGTTTAATTTCAACCTCCAATCTCATAACATGGTCAGTTATTGGTTACAAATCCACAAGTTCACTTAAGTTTTCTAAGCATAAGTTTTCTGTCCTACAATATAGGGAAGATACAGAGTTGGTAGGAAGATTAAATGGTACTATGTATATTAAATGGCCTAACACATAGGGCACCTAAATGCATGACCTTCTGATTTTATTTGAATGGTATGTATTAGCTACAGAAGTCAAAAAAGTAGGAAGAAGGTAAAGACATTTCCAAAAAGAAGAAGGAGGAGAGGAGGAGGAGGAGGAGGAGGACGAGGAGGAGGAGGAGGAGCAGGAGGAGGAGGAGAAAACTGCTTTTTCTCCTTGTTTTATGAATAAGGATGGGGACACAATTTTTACTCAAAGAAATGACATTTTTAGCCAAAGGAATAACTTTCTTAGCATTAGGCTCATTTTTATATGGAAAGTGAAACTCTTTTCCTGTGGATTTTGTCACCTTGTTTGTCTTGGTTTGGTGGACAGAGTCCTGTGGGCTTTCCAGCTAAGATGAGAAAAGGAAGGCTTATGAGGAGAAAATACAGGCCACCATAGTCAGCTCCTGGATTTACATATCCTCAGAACTTTGGGAGTACTTTTTGTTGTACTTGGGCCTTGAATAAAGGCTAATATTTGTGTCTTAGAGATAAAATGCTTATCAAGTGTAGCCTGAGTGAAAGCTTTCTTCCTTGTCAGGGCTGCTCATTGGTAGATTGAAGGGAGGAAATCCTTTATTGCTTTTTTTTAAAAAAAAAAAATTCTGATGACTGTGCTGAGCATGATTAGCAAAGAACCATGGGTTGAAAGTGAAGGTGGTAGCGAGAATACAACAGGGTAATGGAAACTATGTTGGATTTGAAGTCAGCTAGTCCAGGCCTTGGTGTCAAATATCCTGGGCTTCTCCTCTATGAGTCTGAATTTCTTCATATGATATAAGGAGAAAAAACTCTCACAGAGTTGTTTTGTGGTATTGAAATCACCCCCACATGGCAAACAGGCTGCCATTAGGACTTACATTCCTTCCTTAGTAAGAAAGAAGTGCTCATGAAAAATAGTGGCTGCATTCCTGTAGATGAGAATATGGGAAATTGTCTGCCTGAGGCAGATTAACCCAAGAGGTCACTTAAGTTTTGTTTAATGTGTAGGAGAGAAAAAAATGACCTTTGGATAGTAGGAGCCATGTTGTTTGTTTACACTTGAATTAATTACTATGGGAGACTAAGAATTACCCATTCCATTAAGTTGTAGGACTGGATTTCTGGCCCACTTCTTCACATCCACCTAAGACTCAGAGATGGATATTCTTGGCAGTTACACTAGGTGACCACTGAAGCTCCATCCTAGCCAAAGGAACCCATGAGTATTGTAATGGCCAAGTGTTGAGATGGTAGCCTAAGAGATTTTGAGAATCAATGTCCATCATTTCTCAACAATAGCTTCATGCATAGGGATTCTGCTACTTTATGTGGTAGAATGGGTTTGGGGGCATATCCATGTGATATATAGAGACTCCTAAGGAAAGTGAGGGAGTGGGAGAAAAGTCAAAAGAAGACTTCTATGATAAAACTACTTATGATCCCTCACTGTGTATTCATTTCAAGGAAGTTTTATCTTTTTGCCTAATTTATATAATCATTCACAACAGTAGCTCAGAAGTATGGGTAACATTATTCCTATTTGCAGATGAGAATGGAACTGAGAGACTAGGGCAAGGACATAAGACTGCTATGATGTTTAATCTGGTTTAGCCATAGTTCTACCTTTGGATAAGGTAAGGTCATAGGATTGGCTTCATACCATTTATTTGCTCTGAAATTATTGCCTGACCATCATCTTAAGTTATATACCTTAACCTTATATTTCTGCCTTCATCTTTCCCTCATGTAAACATAGCCCATAAGATTGCTGACCCCAGAGAACTTGTCTAATTCCTTAACAGGATCCATAAAGGCTCTGTCCATGTGACAGGAAACCCTGAAAACATTATCTCTAGAAGTATTCCCTCAAAAAAGGCAGCTCCACACTGACTGTATTAAGCAATGAATGATAATAATGTACACATGTAGTTCACTCTTCAAGATCTCAGACTTCTACCCTCCAATTTCTGCCAACTACTGATGTGTATTTCATTATTTCTCTTGTGTCTTTCCAGTTTGGAGACTGCCAGGGAACATGTTCTGCCCATCGACTATTACTTTCCACCCCAGAAGACCTGCTTGATCTGTGGGGATGAAGCTTCTGGCTGTCATTATGGAGCTCTCACTTGTGGAAGCTGCAAAGTCTTCTTTAAAAGAGCTGCTGAAGGTAAAGGGACTTGCACACCCACTTCTATTGTTCTTTTTCCTTTATCTTCTAGAGAGAGGCACTAATTTTCCAGGGCCCTGTATTTTAATCATCTCAGGGACGAGGTCACTGGCAGGGCCTTCTCAAAGTTTTTCAGAGCCTAAAGAATCAAGTTTTCTTATTTGGCCTGCTGGCTTCAACAGTGTTGGTAGTACAGGCAATGTAGGCAATGAAGGTGGTCCCAGCTGGTACTTGGAATTTGGTGGGTCCTAGAAATGAAAGAAAAATTAATGATTTGAAAAGATTTAATTTTCTCTCTGCTTGTGTTCCACTCTGCTGCTAGTGGGGGAAAATTTGTCCTTATTGGAGAATTTAGAAGTAGAGATACTCCAACTGAGTCCCCAGCCTGTATTTTGTTATGAATACAAGATTGTTCCTTAGTAAAGTCTCCCTGGCCTCAGCCCCAGAAAAGAAGTGTTCTCACTGTTAAGCAGACCATCAGTCTATGCACCTGCTCCCTCCTGCTGCTGCCTTCTTGATGCCCCTTTGCATTAATAGTTCCTAGGTAGAGAAGGAACTAAAGTGATGAAACACTTTTATTCTCCTCTCCAGAGACCTGCTCTCAGGGCTGTCCATTGGTACAGAGTCCCAGGCTAAGTTGCATCTTATATTTGGCTATATGGACTGAAGACCTGGCTCATTAATCTTATTTAGCTTAGAACAATTCATGTCTGCTCAGCCCCCAGAGGTGCTCAGCCTACATCCTATAGAGGGAACTCCCATTTACAGACCGTCTATATATGCTAGTGCCTCCTTCTTTCTCAGTCAATTTGGGTCTAAGCCATTTATTCACTTTACTCTCCCATCGTTCTAATGGCTTCTTTCTCAAAGAAGCAGTGATGAACAGCCTGTAAACAGACACTCTGCTCAGGGAACAGATTCAGTTGCTAAACACCAGTATCTACTCCTTCTCCCACTTTCTGTCAAGGAAGTACTTTCTTCTGAGACTTTTTCCCCTGTCACTAGGCCTAAAAATGTTGAATTCTATGCCGGAACCCAAACAGACAGTCTTTCCTTATGTAAAGGCTACAAACCCTATAGATAGTTTTGAAAGTGGAGCTAAGTAAAGCCACACCTTTCACCAGGAATGTGATGACACCCACAGAGGAACCAGAGAGTTCTTGGCATCTAGAAAGAGGTAGCAAATGTGTGTCCTTTAATGGCCTCTCCACTGATAGCCAATTGGAATGATGATTGTATTTCCATCATTTTGGCCAGGTGGCAGGGGTACCTATAAAATGGACAGCTGTTATTATTTTTTTGCAGTCTCTAAAGCAACAAGGAGACAGGTAGCATTCAGTATTACTGAAAACATGCTGTGTATTTCATCCATACTCCTGAGTGGCCCAGTGCTACTGCTTATGCTGGGCTAGTATAACGTCTAGGGCCCCAGTGTCTAGGCCTGTGTAGTTTGGAAAGAGACACAGAAAGCAGTGCCTTCCTTTCTTAAGAGTACTTACAGAAGGAAGGCCTTGATTTGGAGTAAAAAGGAAGTGAGGAGCAGCTTAAAATACTTCAGATTACTCTCCCTACCCCAGTGAGTGCCTGCCTCTTCTCCATACCCTGTCATCCATTACGTCCTGCTTATGGAGCAAAGAATGAAGCTGAGTACCTGTCTATAGCTTGTGTGTCAGTAAGCCAGCCACCACAGTAATAGCAGTCATATCAGATGGCAAAAAAGTTCAAGTAAGCAAGCAAATTCAATAGATAGATTAGATTGTAATTAATGCTCCTTCTGGGTTTTACAAATCTGGGTCATGATAATGCTGTTGTGGAAAACTGGGGAAATAAACATACTGTGGAAGGGAAGATTTTGCTGTCATAACATATTCCACCTGGGAGCTTTCTGCAGAAGTTAGGGCTGAAAGAGGGAGACAGGCAAAAGGGCAGCTGGCAAGGCTGCTTGGGACGAACTCTGCTATGACATGGATTTGATGTATTTGAGAATAAGGAAGAGAAGGGGGAGGAGCAGTCACTCAACTTATAGAACACTTGGAAATCCAGCAAGGTGTCAAATGTTCCAGACCCTAAAAGCACTTAAGTTAGGGAAACCTGGTTATATTTTCTTTGAGAAAATGTGCCATTATGAGTTCATGGGGCCAAATGCTATTGACTGTTTGAAATATAAAAAATAACCAATGGATTCCTTGCGAAACTACGAAGCCCCCTGTTTCCTTTGGATGTGGACCCCATGTTCCAGTTCTGAGCCCTTTGAGGGACAGGATAAGGTGGTTTAAAAATATACACAAAACAAAGAAAAAATTATTGGTGTTTTCAATCTCCTCCCATCTGTAAAGCTTGGTGACTGGAGTTTACTGCCATCATTATCTCTATTTGAAGGCAGGGGGCCGTCTTATTACCCTCCGAGAACATTTATTGGTTTGTTTGTTTGTTTTTCTCCTTTATTAAAATCCATCTCTGTTGTCCAGATGTCCTTTCTCAGGTGATTCTGAATCTACCTGGTTCCAACATTGAATTCCACCTGTATTGGAGAGAGTGGAAGCACAAATCTTTCTCTTCCTCACTTTTTTGTCATTGTTAGTTAACTCAGACTGGGTATTCATGGTGTTGATTACCACTTTATTCATGGTTTCAGAAATCTCTGGACTGGGCACAGGTACAAGACTTAAAAGCCTGGCATGTCAGACAGAAGTCCATTTCTAGATTTGGTAGTTCATAAAGCATGAGGCTTTAATGTTGTCATTGGTGCAAGGCTTCACACAGAGTCAATTGTAATATAGCCAGGTTTTCCTGTTGAGGCAAAAGAAGAGGAGAGTGTGTCACATTTTCTCATTGTTAGTAATACTGGGAGTTTGGGGTGAGGGTGAGGCTAGTCAGGGAAGGATCTGAACATTTTGAGGTAAAAGATAATGGTACTAGACCTTGGGGGTAAAATCACTAAAATCTGGTTGATGGAAACTTAGTGAAAGTATTTGTGTGTATGTGTGCATGCATGCATGTATGTGTGTGTGTGTGCATGGGGGCATGGGGGCATACACTCAGGAACTTGAGGGGATGGTTTGTGAATTAGAAACAGTCATGAGGAGAATCAGCTAGCTGGTAGAGTGGGTGGGATGAGCAAGGAGTTGAAAGGGAAATCCATATTGGATGCTATCTAAAAAGACAGGCAGTCTAAGGAGAGTTATATCTCTATGCAGGGGTAAGGACTCAAAGGGGCTTTAGTTTTGTGGCCCATATATGAAATTTCCCTCTTTGGACCTCAGTTTTCCTTATCTATAAAATAAAATACTTAAACTAGATATTTTAAATATTCTTCCAGCTTAAAATTCGTGACAATTTTGCAAATTACAAACATCTCAATTATTTCAGCAAACACATGTTCATTTGTACCTGTGTGTACTTTTGATTTTGCTATCCTTGTATATGGCAAATCCTAGTTCCCATTCTCTTAAAAATCTATCTTTATATAGGGGTAGAGTCATCTGAGAGAGTGCACTGTGGATAGATAGGGTTAAAACTCATAAGTCTGAGATTTCTCTTTCCCTGGCATTGTGACCATGGCTGGGTAACTTCCATTTTCTCATCTGGAAAATCAGGATATGAATCCCCATCTCTACCTCATCATGTTTCAAAGAGAGTTAATTAATTCATCGTGTGCATTATGTGCACAAGAATTTACTATTTTCAGACATTTTCTAGTAAAACTTTGGAGATTGTACATCCATTTGTTTTGTACACATGGAGCACTGTTTGGTACACATCATAAATTGAAACTGTAGTTTACATTCAGGAACTCAAAGAATTACACCATCCTCACTGATGTTTACAATATGTCCCAATTTAGTATCCTTGGCAAATTTTATGTAAGTATGGCTTTGATTCTCTCTCTTGTCTCAGGTTTTTGTGAGGGAAGAAATGTAAGTGAACCCTCATTGAACTCTTTCTGTCCTTTAAATCCACTCTTTCCCACCTCAACTCATGTGGAACAGAATGTTACTTCTTGTTTGGAATCTTGCACAGAATTTTTGTGCACTTCAGTGTTCTCTTCACTCTCTGGCTTTTTGGGTAACTTTTCGCAGAGGCAAGTTAACTATGCAAGGGGGATCTACTTGCAGCTTCAACAGAAGCTTAATCAGGTATCTTTGGCCAAGGAGTTGACTGATCTTGATTGCACAAATCCAACAGATCTTCTCACAAAGCTCCTCTTATCTTTTATTTGTTTCTGGTTTTCTTAAATGTCATAGCCAGCCAGACTTTAGATCAGGGGTTGAAAAACCTTTTCTGTAAGAAGCCAGGTAGTAAATGCAGGGGTGGACAAAAGTTGTAGTACAAATAAATAATTAATAATGAATAATACAAGAATAAACTCTGTGTTTCGTATACTCACTATTGAAAACCTACTTTTGCCCATCTCTGTATATTTATGGCTTTATGGTCCATATGGTTTTTGACTCCACTATTCAACTCTGCCTTTGTGAAAGTGTGAAAGCAGCCCTAGACAATATGTAAACTCATAGGAGTGGCTATATTCCAATAAAACTTTATAGGCCCTGAAATTTGAATTTCATTTAATTTTTACATGCCATTAAATACTATTTTCCTTTTTATGTTTTCAACCATTTAAAATCTAAAACATCATTCACAGCACCCAAGCCACAAAAGAACATGCAGCACACTGGATTTGGCTTGTGGACTGTAATTTGTTAACTCCTGCTTTAGATGGTTGCTCCTGTGCTTGCAAATCTGCAGAGTAAAATTCATTCCTTCTTGTCCCCTGATGTTTAGTAACTTTCTAAATTATCTGATTTTAAACATTCTTCTGAGTTGGCCAGTCAATTTTTTATGTCTTTCTTTCCCAGAATGCCTGGTCTGGTGGCTTCTATGTCCTATGCATCCTTTTAATAAACAGGAGGAAAATAAGCACATCTAGGAGTGCTAGAAGAGAGTACTTTTATATGATAACAGTGCTCCATGTTTAGTAGATCACTCCCCCTTGAAAT